AAATCAGTGTTAAAAATATTTTCCGACCAATTTTAGAATTCCAGCATAGCGACATTGCCGCCAGCGGCAGTGGTTTGCCTCGGACCGACCATTTTCGGCCAGTTTTGGTCGATTTCGGACGGTTCTATACTCATCCTTGCGAGAAAACATGTTAAGGGGTCTCGATTGGCCGAAAAAAATCAAAAATTAAAAACTCACCGGCAGCGGGATTTTCCAGTGCGGTGGCTCCGCTGGCTCACCTTCGCGGTTGGAGTTTTTCTTTGATCAACCTGTAGAGAACAGAATGGTGAATATAATGGTGGAAAAATCGTACGAAACGGGAATCGGGAAGGGGTTCATCAGAGACGATTTTTTGTTTTTCCCGCGGTGGCGTCGCTGGGCTTTACCCGCGGTTTTCGGCTCATCCACGGTCTTTTTGCTTCGATTTGGCCATGGAGGTGTTGAAAATCAAATTTTGAGCGAATAAGAAAATTTTTATTTTTTTTTTGGCGCCCGGAGGTGGCGGGCGGTGGTCGGCTCTCTTCTCCGGCGTCTAGTTCTTCTTTTCCGACGGGGGGCTGGCGGTTAAGGTTAGGGTTCGGTGTGAAATGAGGTATTTATATCTGCCTCCCTTTAATCTGGGTCATTTTTCGCGTATGATCTCGACTGTCCGATCACGTTTAAAGAGAAAATGAATCTGGACCATTCTTTGCGATTCGATCTGAACCCTTCTTTGCGATTCGATCTGAACCGTACAATCACATTTAAAGAGAGAACGAATCTGGGTCGTTCATTGCATTTAATCGCGACCATCCGATTGCGCGCGGGAATAAATTCGGACCGTCCGATCGTGGGTACGCGGATTGCTAGCATGGCCTCCCGTGTGGCACCGAGTCAGCGTGCCTTGTCACGCGGTGCGCTTCGGTTCATCAGAGCTGCTAACTGGGCGGTCGTATGCGATACATTTTTCTTAAATTGCGTTTTGACCGCCAATTTTCGATTTTTCTTTAAAAAACACCCCCGAACTCAAATTTTCACAATTTTTTTTCAAAATTGTATTTGATTTCATCCTCCACATTTTTTTTTTCAAATTTTACAGTAAATAAAAATTTATAAAATTAAAATTTATATTCCTATATATTAATTTTAATTTTTAAAATTAACTTATGGTCAAATTTTGGGTTCGGATATTACAGAAGAGTTGATGTTTAGTTTTGTAACTCTTAACAGTCATATTTAGGAGGAGAACTCTACATCAGAAGATCTTATTTAAGAAGAAAATGTTGGACGATGGGATACGTTGGACTTGAAGAAGTATTCAAGAAAAGATAAGACAGAAAAAGCCATCATGCAGTTTATCCCAGATTAAGAATCTTCTTTAGTTCCTGAAGATACTGGTGAGTCATCTTTACCTTGTGAATTATCTGATAAACCAATTGCTCTTAGGAAATGAATCAGAACTTGCACTAAGTGTGACATCCCAGGTATTAATTAAGCCAAATTGGTGTTAGATTCAGATTTAGAATAACGAGTGCATGATAATATTTATGCAGCGGAATCAAACCTTAACAAATTTTTTACAAATATATATATAATGTTCTAAATACATATATCACTGAAGTCAGAAGTGACAACAAAATACAAAACATAAAGGTCACTTCTTTCACTATGCTATTGGAATTCATTAGAGTGCGGGAATAGTCATGCATTCAGATTTGTGGATCCACAGGATCCTCATAAACTTTCAAGGGTAGGTCTGCCTGCGGTTACTCATTTTCTTCCTCATTTAGGGAGGTGGGGTGGGGGGGAAGATGGAAAGAGTGAGCTTCATATGCTCAGTAAGAAAACATAATTAAATTAATATCGTGATATTTTAAAAATTTATTATTTTATCTCACCGTTTAGCTTTCTTGTTTACCTAACTCATCATTGGAAAAAGAAACCATTTATTTGAATATCAAAACAGTACGTTAGTACAGAAAATCAAATATACATATATCATGCCAAATAATAGAGAAAATTAAATAAATCATGAAATGCACAGATATTTCATGTCATGTTTTACGAAGTCGTTACAAACTTTCATATCTGAGGGCAAATACAGATTTCTAACTGTCCAAGTGGAATGACCAGATTAAATACAGATACAGATACAACAATTTCCTCAGACCTGCTTCCGGCTGGTCAAATCATGGTACAATATATGACTACGATCGTACTAAGTATAGTGGGCCTAACATATATCTATAGTCACAACTTTACTTAGCCACAGGTGACCCCTGTAGATAGTGCGATACCACTCTCATCAGAGGGCACGCAGTCATCCACTAGGAGCGGTTTTTCTCACGGCTTTTCAGACCAAATAGGGGAGTGAGAAATAGATACCCCGAAGGGTAAGGGGAACATATACCCCTCCGAGATAAAAAGTTTAACGAAACTTTTGATGCAATATGCATGTCAATACATATACATTTCGGACCATACAAGCTTCATTCTACTTTTCTCCTTTTATTTTTTTTTTACTTTTGCTATTATGGACTAAATATTACATATATTACATGCAAATTCATTAAGTGTCAGTAATTTACATAACATGTTTGAAAATTAGAACAATTCGACTCATTTGAACACAGAGGCATGCAAAACAGACAAAATAACAATCATATTAAATTTATTTATTTAAAAAAATATTACTTAAGACGTCGAAAGTAATACTAGATTCCATACCGAAACCTTGATTTTTTTTTTACCGTTTTTCTTTTTTTCTCTTTTTCTCTCACTAATTTACTATCTCTCTCTTTAAATCTTTAAGAAATGGAAGGATGGAAGTGTGGAGAGGAAGTGAAAGGGAAGAGCAATTTATAAAATTTCGCAACCGTTGGATTCGCACCGTGGTGAAATTCGGTGAAGAGAGAGGAGGAAAGATTCTTGACACCAAAAACGAGGGAAAAAATTTTCTCCACTGGCGGCGGCGGCACACCGCCCAAGGCAGCGACGGGGCATAGGCCTACTGCTGCGCGCGCAGGGCCTAGGTGTACTAGGCGCCACGTGCGCAAGCCCCAGGCACACAGGGCTTGTCTCAGTAGGTCTGCTGTGCAGATGGCGCGCGCACAGTGTGCGGCACCAGTCCATGCGCGAAGTGATGGGTGGACAGCTCGCCTGCACGCGACAGGACCCGCGCACAGATCCTGACCCCGCACCGTGCGCACAGTGCCAAGCACTTGCGCGGGCAAACTGCTTTCTAGTGGGATTTTTCCCACGGGCAAGTTTTCTTTCGTTTCACCGTTTTCTAGTTTTTTTTTTTAAATTTTTCTTTGAAATAAAATAAAATATTTTAAAATAAAATAAAAATATATCAAAATCACGAATCTCAAAAAATATTAAACAGCGTAAATTAATTTAAGTTTAAAACGATCAAAGACCCAAATAAATAGAGTTTCCAAAACATTTTAGTACAGTGATTGGCGGGGTGTTACACTAAGCATCGTATGTTTAATTTTGTTTCCTATGATTCTCTATCTCCCTCGTGTAGAGCATTTGTTTTGTTTTTTTCCGTCTCTGTTTATTATACACGATTGGAGAGAAGGTTTAAGAGATCCTAAATGGAAGGAAACGATGATTGAAGAAATGAGAGTATTGACAAAAAATGAAACATGGAAGCTTGTTTCAATTCCGTAAGGAAATAAGAGGATTGATTGTAAGTGGGTGTTCAGTGTAAAACATAAAGCAGATGGGTCGATTGAAAGATACAAAACTAGACTAGTGGCTAAAGGGTTTACTCAAACCTATGGAGTTGACTATTAGGAAACCTTCGCACCTGTAGCAAAAATGAACACAATCAGAATATTACTATCTTGCACTACTAATCTTGATTGAGACTTACGCCGATTTAATGTAAAAAATGTCTCCCTTCGTGAGGACTTAGAGGAGAAGGTATACATAAAAATTCCATCTACATTTGAAGATCAAAGAATACAAGGGAAGGTTTGTAAAATAAAGAATGTCTTGTATGGATTAAAGCAATCTCCAATAGTATGGTTCGAAAAATTCAGAAGAATTATGATATCTTTCGAATATCAGAAAAGCAATGCTGATCATACCATATTTATCAAGTATTGTGAGGGTATGATCACTCTTTTCATTATTTATGTAGATGATATTGTGGTAACTGAAGATGATATAAAGGAGATGACTCGATTAAAGAGACCTCTTGCTCAAGAATTTAAAATCAAGGATCTTGGAAAATTTTAGTACTTTCTGGGA